AGTCCTCGACTTACGACCACAACTGAGCCTTTGTCTAAGCAAGGCAGACGTTAGGCGGGCTTTGCCCCCTTTTATGACCTTGCTTGCCACTGTTGGTAAGCGAATCACTGCAGTCGTTAAGTGAATCGTGCGGTCATTGAGCGAATCGTTGACCTTGCTTGTCAGAAGGTCACAAAAGGGATCGCACAATTCCAGGGAGCCGCCCTTAGTACGAGTCAGTTGCCAAGCGTCTGAATTTTGATCACATCACCGCAGGGAGGCTGCAACGGTCGTAAATGTGAAAAACGGTCCTAAGTCACTTTTTTCAGGGCCGTTGTAACTGTGAACGGTCGCTAAACACATGCTGTAAATTGAGGACTATCTGCACTCAGTGAATTAGCAGACTTTCCCCCCAAACACGTACTTCCCTGAGTAATTTAGAGCAGAGGTCTCCATCCTTTTTCTTTTGGCGGCCCAGAAAGGGAGGCAGGCACCACTACGAGTGTGAGCACAAATGGGCCATGCACGTGTGCACGCAAAAATGACCCCCTGTGCACGCGCACAAATGGGCTGAGCATGAGCACATGTACACATGCAAAGAGCCACACGCAAGCACAGGCACACATGCAGACAGGGCTGCGTGGGCGCGAATGGGGCAGCACTAGTGCCGGTGGGATGCTCTGCGGCGGGGTGGTGCTAGCACCGGTGGGATGCTCTGCGGCGGGGTGGTGCTAGCACTGGCGGGATGCTCGGGGCGGCGCTAATGCCGGTGGGACACTTGGGGGTGCAACAGGGCAATGCTACCGCTGGCGAGATGTTCAGAGCAGCGCTAGTGCTGGTGGGACGCTCAGGGCGGGATGGTGCTAGCACCGGCGGGATGCTCAGGGCCGGGTGATGTTAGCACCGGCGGGATGCTCGGTACGGTGCAAGTGCCAGTGGGATGCTCAGGGCAGAGTAGTGCTAGCATCAGTAGGATGCTCGGCGCGCCGCTAGTGCCGGTGGGACACTCAAGGGCAGAGCAGGGCAATGCTAGCACTGGCGGGATGTTCGGAGCGGCGCTAGTGCCAATGGGACACTCAGGGCGGGGTGGTGCTAGCACTGGCAGAATGCTTAGCGTGGCGATAATGCCCGTGGGACACTCAGGGTGAGGTGGTGCTAGCACCGGCGGGATGCTCGGGCCAGTGCTAGCACGAGTGTGTGTGGGGGGGTTAGTGCACGCACGTGTGCATGTCCACTGGCCATCCTTTCACGTGGCCTAGTAGCCAAGCAGCCACATCCCAGTATTGGGCCACAGCGCACAGGTTGGGGAGCCCTGTTTTAGAGAAACCTTCACTAAAAATAAATAAAATAAACCACAGCTTATAAATAAATATTAATGCATTTTTTTTAATCCTGTTGGGTGGGGGATTAGACACTTTGAAGGACAATTTTTTATTATTACTATGAAATTTATTCGCTGCCCGTCTCGTATCCGGCCACTCTGATTTATCGGCCTTTCTGCACTGCGATGAAAAGCAACACAAGGCCTTCGAACAGATGCACACTCTCTGCCACGAAGGATTAAAATAGAAAGACCGCATCAAAATGACAATCTATCAATCTATGAGAACGTTTTACCACAAGTGGGGAACAAAAATGAAGACTTTCTCGCAAAAAATGAAACCAGAATCCAGATGAGCTTCACCCAGCAGTTTAACTGGGTCTACACAAATCAGCCCAAGTTGCAAAAGGACTGCTGAATATTTTACTTAAAAATATATATATATTGTTATCCTGCCTATTATTTTCATAAAGAACTCACGCAGGTAGTCCTTGACTTACAATCATTCATTTAGTGACCATTCTAAGTTACATTACTGAAAAAAGTGACTTATCATCATGTTTCACACTTATGACCATTGAAGCATCCCTGTGGTCACATGATCAAAATTCAGACACTTGGCAACTGACGGTCGCAGCGTCCTGGGGATCACCTGACCCCTTTTTACGACCTTCTGACAAGCAAAGTCAATGGGGGGGGGAAGTCAGATTCACTTAACAACCGGGTTCCTCACTTAACAACTGTGGCAAGAAAGGTCATAAAACGGGACAAAATTCAGCAATTTTGTAAACACAGTAAACAGTGGTCTATATTAAATGGTGGTTTATCTTACACTGTCTATAATATCATACAACAGGAACAATATGCATACATGTGTTAATAAAGCAGGATCCAACACACATCCGTTACAGCGGGAAGCGGAAGAGAGAGAACACATCAGCGGAGCCTTCCCTGTTATACAGAGGCTCTTAAAAAGACACAGACCCTGCTGGCTCTTAAAGGGACACAGACCCTGTTGCGTCATCCCCATCATTACAACTTACATTACATCAGCTGGTTAGCTTTTAAATCATTACCTCGACATCTACGTTGAGGTCTACCAACACCAGGAATAGGCAACCTTGGCTCTTTCATGACTCGTGGACTTCAACTCCCAGAATTCCTGAGCCAGCCTGGCTCAGCATGGAAACCTCTCCATTTCTCCTCAGCATGGCTGGCTCAGGAATTCTGGGAGTTGAAGTCCACGAGGCATAAAAGAGCCAAGGTTGCCTACCCCTGACCAAAGCACACGTTGAATGTATTTATTTGATCCTTTGCTCGTTCAATTTATTTGCCGCCTATCGTAACAGTGACACCCTACCTACCGTCTGGTTAAATCTTCCCAAAGTTTTGATCAAATTAATGAGCAATAAAAAAACATTCCCTTAAAGCCAAACCGGCAAAGGACCAGGAACAAACATTTCAAACCGAAAGGCGGTTGTTCATAACGCAACAACTAATTAACACACGAGGATTCAAGAGGTCTGCTTAATTTAGATATCCTTCTTCACTCGCCCATGCAAATTGTTTTTTTTTTTGGTATAATATGCTGCATAATTCATATTCTGCTCTCCCTCCTGAAGGATGTAATAGAATTGTTAAACACCGCAACCAGCTCGAATTTGGGGTCCCAGGAGAAATAACATAATGGCATGCTTCTGACTTTATACCTTCGCGACTGGATTCCCCGAAAATCATTCAAGGGGAAAAAAAATCCCTCAGGAAGGCTCAATATTTCATTCCAGATCAAGGGAGATTTTCAGCAAAAGCCCCAAATCAATCTGGATGTTGTGACTTTGATCGGGCAGTTTCTGAGGGGTTGTTTTTTGAAAATTTATTTTAATTTGGGGAAGGAAGGATTCGCTCAGGAGAGCAGAGACCTTGATCTACGGCAGGTAGTCCTCAGTTTACAAACAAAGCTGAGCCCAAAATTTCTGTTGCTAAGTGAGGCGTTTGTTCAGTGAGTTTGGCCCCATTTTACGGCCTTTCTCGTCGTTAAGCGGATCACTGCTGTTGTTAAGTTGGTAATACGGTCGTTAAGCGAATCCGGCTTCCCCATCGACTTAGTCAGAAGGTCGTAAAAGGGGATCCCATGACCCCGGGCGCATGAAAGTGTCATAAATACAAGTCAGTGGCCAAGCATCTGAATTTTGATCATGTGACCGTGGGGAGGCTGCAACGGTCGTAAGTGTGAGAAACAGTCGTAAGTCACTTTTTTCAGTGCCGTGGTAACTTTAAGCGGTCACTAAACGAAGGCGCAAGTACAGATTGGGTGAGGCCTGGCTCAAAAACAGCCACTGTGAGAGGGACCTTGGAGTCCTAGTGGACAATCACACTTGATCATGAGCCAGCCGTGTGCAGCAGCAGCCAAAAAAGCTAATACAATCCTGGGTTGTATAAACAGAGGCATAGAATCAAGATCACGTGAAGCATTAGTACCGCTTTATAAAACCCTAGTAAGACCACACCTGGAATACTGCAACCAATTTTGGTAGCCATATTGCAGAAAAGATGTTTAGAGTTTGGAAAAAATCCAGAAAAGAGCAACTAAGATGATCCAAGGCCCGGAAACTAAAACATACGAAGAATGGCTGCGGGACTTGGGTTTGGCTAGTCTAAAGAAAAGAAGAAACAGGGGAGACATGATAGCTATATTCCAGTATCTGAGGGGCTTCCCCCAAAGAAAAGCGGGCCAGGTTGTTGACCAAAGCACCAGAGGTCAGGACAAGAAACAACGGATGGAAACTAACCAAAGGGAGAAGCAACCTGGAATTAAGGAGAAACTTCCTGACAGTGAGGACAATCAACCAGTGGAACAGCTTGCCACCAGAAATCGTGGGCGCTCCATCACTGTAGACTTTTAAGAAGAGGCTAGACAGTCACCTGTCTGAGATGGTATAGGTTCTCGTGGTTGAGCAAGGGGCTGGACTAGAAGACCTCCAAGGTCCCTTCCAGCTCTATTCTGTTCTAACAACTCCCATCTCCTCCCTCCCTCCATAATAATAATAATAATAATAATAACAATAATAATAAAGTTGGAAGGGACCTTGGAGGTCATCTAGTCCAACCCCCTGCTCAGGTAGGAAACCCTATACCATTTCGGACAAATGGCTGTCCAGTTTCTTCTTAAAAACTTCCAGTGTTGGAGCATTCACCGCTTCTGGAGGCAGGCTGTTCCACTGGTTAATTGTTCTCACTGTCAGGAAGTGTCTCCTTAGTTCTAGATTCCTTCCTTCCTTCCTTCCTTCCTTCCTTCCTTCCTTCCTTCCTTCCTTCCTTCCTTCCTTCCTTCCTTCCTATCTCCTCCCTCCCTCCCTCCCTCCCTCCCTTCCTTCCTTCCTTCCTTCCTTCCTTCCTCCCTCTCTTCCTTTTCATTCCCATCTCCTTCCTTCCTTCCTTCCTTCCTTCCTTCCTTCCTTCCTTCCTTCCTTCCTTCCTATCTCCTCCCTTTCTTCCTCCTTCCCTCCCTCCCTCCCATCATTTTTTTCCCAGACAACACCTCATTGTACAATACCCTCTGCACCTGACCTGCCTTTGCTCATGACAATTAAGAAGAGCGGCAGCCAACAACATCTGGGATCTAGCAGCAAATACCATCCCTAGAAAAATAGCTTCAGTGAAGCGTCCCAACCATGTATATAAAAGAGAGGGAATCTCCTACCTTGCTCGCTCCAGGGAGTAAATGCAATTTCACGTATGGATCAGCCAGTCCATTATGGTCCATCGGCTTCAGGCCCTGAAGAGAAAGAGAGAAAAACAGATTATAACAGAGAAATTCCAGCTGCTATCAATCTATGCGGGGAGGGGGAGGGAGCAACCCCCCACCCTCTTTGTTATTCCGAGCCTGTGGTGTCTCCATCTGATTTATTCCAGGCAAAACCAATTTATCCACTCCTGTTTACACAATGCATCGGTGTCTGTCTACTTGATTATGCCACCCGCCTTCCCAGCTGGCTCTGATTGTGCCAGGGGGAGTAGATTTAAAGGCACGCACTTCCCCCCCCTCAGACCCTGGGGTTCAAAAAAGGCCGAAAACAAGCCAAGGGCACAAAGTCCTGATTCAACAATACCGAACGGTTGCTGGAATTGGGTCTGTCTAGTTTAATGAAGAGAAGGACAAGGGGGGACAGGATAGCAGTCTTCCAGTGTCTCAGGGGCTGCCCCAAAGAAGAAGGAGTCAAGCTATTCTCCAAAGTGCCTGAAGGCAGGACAAGAAGCAACAGATGGAAACTAACCAAAGAGAGAAGCAACCTAGAACTAAGGAGAAACTTCCTGGCAATGAGAACAATTAACCAGTGGAACAAGCTGCCTCCAGAAGTGGTGAATGCTCCAACAATGGAAGTTTTTAAAAAGAGACTGGATAGCCATTGTCTGAAATGGTATAGGGTTTCTTGCCTGAGCAGGGGGTTGGACTAGATGACCTCCAAGGTCCCTTCCCAAAACAACAACAACAACAACAACAACTACTACTACTACTACTACTACTACTACTACTACTACTACTACTTCTTCTTCTTCTTCTTCTTCTTCTTCTTCTTCTTCTTCTTCTTCTTCTTCTTCTTCTTCTTCTTCTTCTTCTTCTTCTTCTTCTTCTTCTTCTTCTTCTTCTTCTTCTTCTTCTTCTTCTTCTTCTTCTTCTTCATTATTATTATAACAGCCCAGATCAGAGAATGAATCCACCATAAGTTCAAGTAGTCCTGGACTTATGATCACAATAGAGCCCCCAAATTTACACTGCTAAGGGAGAAATTTATGAAGTGAGTTTTGCCCTGTTTTACAACTTTTCTTGCCCCGGTTGTTAAGTGAATCACTGCCATTTTTCAGTTAGTGACCTGGTTGTTAAGTGAATCTGGCTTCTTCCACACGGCCTTTGCTCGTCAGAAGGTCGCCAAAGAGGATCACGTGACCCCCGGGATACTGCGACCATCATAAATATGAGCCAGTTGCCAAGCATTCAAATGTAAACCACATGGCTGGGACGGTCGTAAGTGTGAAAAATATCCTTAAGTCCCTCTTTTCAGTGCCGTGGTAACTTCAGAATGAACTGCTGTAAGTCAAGAACTACCTGTATATCTAACGAAATGAAATTCAGTGGCTAGAAAAGCAAGAATTTACACATAGGAAAGAAAAATTAAATGGACAGGTACAGATTAGTTAAAACCTGGCTCAATAGTAGCAACTGTGAGAGGGATCTCGGAGTCCTAGTGGATAATCATTTAAATAGGAGCCAGCCGTGTGCTGCAGCTGCCAAAAAGGCCAACTCAGTGCTGGGCTGCATTAACAGAGGGATAGAATCAAGATCACGTGAAGCGTTAATACCACTTTACAAGGCCTTGGTAAGGCCACACTTGGAATACTGCATCCAGTTTTGGTCACCACGATGTCAAAAAGATGTTGAGACTCTAGAAAGTGTGCAGAAAAGAGCAACAAAGATGATTAGGGAAGTGGAGGCTAAAACATATAAGGAATGGTTTCAGGAATTGGGTATGTCTAGTTTAATGAAGAGAAGGACGAGGGGGGACATGATAGCAGTGTTCCAGTATCTCAGGGGCTGCCCCAAAGAAGAGGGAGTCAAGCTATTCTCCAAAGCCCCTGAAGGCAGGACAAGAAGCAACGGATGGAAACTCATCAAGGAGAGAACTGAGCTAAAATTAAGGAGACATTTCCTGACAGTGGTTACTAAATTTAAGATGTTTGGAAATTAACAGAAAATAAGAATGTTATATTGCATTATTAATTAGTTGATGTAAGATGCTGAGAATTCAAATAGATAAGATGTGTATCCTGAACATTAGATCTTGTGATGCATTGTGAAAAGGGCAATTGGGGTTACTTAAAACTTGGAAACTATAAATATTAAACATAAAATTTAAATATTAATGGGAAACTAAAAATTGGGGAAAACTAATTAGGACATTGATTTTCTATAAAGATGGAATGTTAAAATAACTAGGATATGCATAAACTAAAAATTATTGATAAATGTAAGAAAGTTATTTTTATTTAATCGATATAATAAGAATTGTATTAGTTTAAATATGAGACAGTAAATACCAAGGGGAAAAGAGAGGAAATATTTAATGTAATAGTTTGAGATCTGTACCAAAGATATTTGTATGTTGTTGTTGTTGTTAATAATAATAATAACAATAATAATGTTGGAAGGGACCTTGGAGGTCATCAAGTCCAACCCCCTGCTCAGGCAGGTAACCCTATACCAGTGATGGCGAACCTTTAAGAGACTGAGTGCCCAAACTGCAACCCAAAACCCACTTATGCAACGGCGAGTGCCAGGTGGGTGTGGCTCATTGGGTGGGTGTGGCCCATTGGGTGGGCGTGGCTACGGTGATAACGGCAGACTGGGTGGGACTAAAAAGTTCAATCAATCAATTCCAACTTTGCAAGATCTTTTTTTTCCCTTGAGAAGTTGAAATTGAGTGATTGAACTTTTTTTTTTTTTTTTTTTGCACAGGCGGCAGAGGCCTAAAGCGAAAAGGTTTTATAAAACCCAGCTGAAGGCCTAGGACTGGGGCGACCGTGCACGTGCCCACAGAGCGGGCTCTGAGTGCCACCTCTGGCAACTGTGCCATAGGTTCGCCACCACTGGTCTAGGGCCGTGTGACAAGAAAGGTTGTAAAATGGGCAAATCTCACGTAACAAATGTCTCACTTAGCAACAGGAATTGTGGTTCAATTGTGGTCGTACGTTGAGGACTATCTGTATAACAGAATGGTAGATTTAGAAGGGACCTTGGAGGTCATCTAGTCCAATCCCTGCTCAGGCAGGAGACCCTATGCCATTTCAGACAAATGGCTGTCCAGTCTCTTCTTAAAAACTTCCAGTGTTGGAGCATTCCCACTTCTGGAGGCAAGGAGTTCCACTGGTTAATTGTTCTAACTATCAGAAAGTTTCTCCTCAGTTCTAGATTGCTTCTTTCCTTGATGAGTTTCCATCCATCTCCACTTGTCCTGCCTTCAGGTGCTTTGGAGAATAGCTTGACTCCCTCTTCTTTGGGGCAGCCCATATTACTGAATTATCGATTAACTCAGCCGCTACGGGATCCCCTGTTGCCATCTTTGGATAAGCAAAGTCAAAGGGGAAGCCATATTCACTTAACAACCGTGTTTACTAACTTAACTGCAGTGATTTCCCTTCACAACTGTGGCAAGAAAGGTCGTAAACTGAGGCAAAACTCACTTAACAACTTGTTTTGGCTTCGCAACGGAAATGCGTGTGATCGTACCTCGAGGACTACCGGGATAATCCCAAAGGTTTTATTCCAGAACCTTTTGAGGTACCGTGAGAAGCTGCATGGATTGAAATAAAAATTAAAAGGAAAGGATGTCAATGTTACGGGCTCATCTCAAGAAACAGGAGAGGAACAGGTGAGGTGTGTGTTTCCACAATTTTTCTAACAGTCCCGCCTTTGTTTCCGCAGAAGTCAACACACTGCCCAAATCCTGGCGATGAGCAGAAAGCAATAAGCACCTAGATAATGAATTCACACGCCGGTTATCGTTCGGCATGCAAATTTTCGCTTTGTTCCAACTCGGCAATTAATTCCAGGCTTAGGAAACAGAGCGATTTCTTGAGCGACCAAATTACAGGGATCTTGGATTCATGATCCCTGTGTTTGTGCAAAGCTGCACTTTTCGGATCCCAGCGTCGTGGCCGACAGCCAACAGAGAAAACATACCTGGATGCAATTCCCTGACTCTATATTGGAACAAATTGCAAACAAATTCCGCAAAGGTAGGAATCTCCTGTTTTTAGGCTGTCAAAGGTCTCTGGAGGCTGAAGAATAAACCTCAGTTGGGGGGTGTGTGTCTTTCTTACATTTAAGCAGGAAAAACCAAATGCACTGGAAGTCTTTAAGAAGAGACTGGACAGCCATTTGTCTGAAATGGTATAGGGCAGTGGTTCTCAACCTGTGGGTCGGGACCCCATTTGGGGTCGAACAACCATTTCACGGGGGGTCGCCAAACAACGCAGTCCGCCATTTTTTCCCCCTTTTCCTTAGCTGTGCTACTCCCTTTTATTCTATTGGCTTTTGAAAGCCAATCGAATAGACTCTCTTGAATAGAGTCTAATTCTATTGGCTTTCAAAAGCCAATAGGAATTGTCCAGGCTGTCTCTGCCCTGCTGAGCCCGCCAAAAGTCCCCTTCTGCAAACGGTGCTGCACCAGTTGAGTAGTCCTCGACTTACGACCGGTTGAGTAGTCCTCGACTTACGACCAGTTGGGGGTCGTGACATTAAAAAGGTTGAGAGCCACCGGTATAGGTTTTCCTGCCTGAGCAAGGGGTTGGACTAGATGACCTCCAAGGTACCTTCCAACGTTATATTATTATTGTTGTTGTTGTTGTTATTATTATTATTATTAATTATGTACAGAATACGGAGAATCTGGGAAAATGGCAGTAATTACGAGAGGGATTGTGGAGTCCTAGTGGACAATCACTCAAATATGAGCCAGTAAGTGTGCACAGCTGCTAAAAAAGGCAATGCAATCCTAGGGTTGCATTAAGAGAGGGATAAAATCAAGATCACGGGAAGTATTAATATACCACTTTTTAATGCCTTGGTAAGGCCACACTTGGAATACGGCATCCAGTTTTGATCAGCACAATGTGAAAAAGATGCTGAGACTCTAGAAAGAGTACAGAGAAGAGCAACAAAGATGATCAGGGGACTGGAGGCTACAACATATAAGGAACGGTTGCTGGAATTGGGTATGT